TTTTTAGGGGGAAGAAGGGGAGGGATTTCGTCTCTTCTCGAGGGATGAATCGCGGAGGGGGAAGTGTGGAAGCGAGGGAGAGGGAGAGATTTTCGTGGGTGCGAGGAGGGTCGATTGGGAGTGATAGCTTCTAGAGAGAGGAGGAAAAATTGGAAGTTGAGGTAACGAAGATATTTGGAATGATGTGAAGGTTTAATGGTGGTGAAATTTTAAATTTTGTGTGCAAGGGGTTGTTTATTCGTTTGTCGAGAGAATTCGGGTGTGACGATGAGACTAATTCTTTTGTCTTTTTTTTTTTTTTTTTTTTTTGGAAAATTTGAGGCGGGGGTGGAAAAGATTTGGGGATTTGGGTGGGGAGGTTTTGGGGGGGGGGTTTATTGGGGGGGGGTTGGGGGTGTGGGGGGGAGCTTTTTTTTTTTTTTTTTTTTTGTGAAAATTGAAGCAGTGGTTGGAAAGATATTGTGAATTCGGTTGTGAAGATTTTGAGGTGAAGTTTAATTGTGGTGCGTTTGGAAAGTTCGAGGGATGAGTGTGGGAATTGGAGAGATGAGAAGAAGAGGAGGGTTTGAGAGGATTTCTGTGCTTGAAGAGATTGATCGAAAGTGGAGCTTTTTTCGTGGAAATCAAAGAAGATCAAAGTAGTGAGAAAAGTTTGGTTGGAAAGATATTAGTAAGTGAAGGATTCAAATTTAATTGTGGTATGTTTAGGAATTTAAGATGTTGATTGGGGATTTGTCGAGAGACCAGTGGGAATTCTCGTTGTTAGGGGTGAAAAGATTGATTGGAAATTGAAGATTTTGTGTTGGAGATTAAGGTAGTGGAAAAGTTTGATGCTAAGATTTAGGATTTAAAATATAATTGCGATAGGAAGAAGAGCGACGATTGTGATTGAGTTGAATTGAAGAAGGTATAATATAAAGTATGATATAATTATATTGAATCGATAATTGGAATTTTTTTATGTGGTATAATTTGTTGAAATTGATTCCACGAGAGAATAAAAGTTTATATTTTTACGTATAATGGAGCTATTTTTATTAAAAGTGATATCGATCACAAGAATCGTGATTGATCGGAGTTGGAAAAGATAATTAAAGATCAGTTTTATGAATTAACTTTCATTTGAAGATTAAGTTATTACTATTTCTAATTATAATAGGATTTTTCTTGTCACATAAAAGTTATATATGATCATAATTTTTCATTTTCTTTGAATAGAAATTAACAAAGTTAAAAGTCGAAATAAGTCGGAGTAAAAGAATAGATCGTTACGTAGAATTATAATCAAAATTGAATTTAATTATAATTTATTTTTTTGTCGTACTTTTATCTCTTTTATATACACATATATATATTTGATCTTCCGGTTATAATGATGGAAATTTCTAAAATCTGACAATCTCGACATATAATAAAGTTTCTTTTATTAAATTATAATTATTAAATAATAAGTAGTTTATCTCGAAATTAATTTTTTAAAATAATATCCTCGTGTCTTTATTATATATATATATGTCTTTTTTTTATAATTTAGAAAATTTTAAATTAAATATTTTAAATATTTTTTGTCAGAAGATAATTTTTTTTTATACAAAGAAAGTTTATCTCGTTTTTGTATAATATTTTTATTATTATTAGAATTATTTAATGTTAAAAACATGAAGGAATTATTACAAGAAAGTTTCTACTACGCTAACTTTTAACAATCAATTTTTTCCACGAGGTTATTGTTCCATTTCCACGATGAGAAAACAGATATTAGAGCGCGATAGAAAAGTTATTAACATTATCTTTTAGCCACATATATGGGTCACGCCAGTCTTCGTGTAAAATTTATGATCTTCGAGTAATTCACGAATCCCTGTCTAGATTTAACTTGAAAATCAATCGTAAACTTCACCATCAAGATCCTCGAGATCGTATCATATCCAAAAATACTTAAACTTCTTTCGATTCTTTTATAACATCTCTCGATCGATCCTTAAGATTATAAATTTAATAAAAAAAATATTAACATCTAAAAATTTCCAAAAATATCTAGATATCGTTTATTCTAATCTCTATTACCCCAACTTGCAGCATCCTTCAAAAATCTTCATCGATCCTTAAAATATCAAAAAAATTTCTAAAAATATTCAAATTCTTTCAATTTTCATCGCCATAATCGATAATAATATCTTTCAATCGATCCTTAAGATCAAAATTCAACAAAAAATCAACTTGCAAACTTCATCAATTTTTATCACATCTAAAAATTCCCAAAAATCATTTATTCCAATTTCCATTACCCCAATCCCTCCGCCCTCAATCTTCCCCCAATCACCACCAACAATATCCACCGCAATATCCCTTTCATTGCTGACACCTCGTTTCAATTCACCGCGTCAATTCCCCTCTCGATGAACGTAAACCGTATCCTCATCTCGATCGAACACGAATCGACGATCGAATTTGCCTGCCGCGCGTTCTCTTCAAAGAGGAAACAAGAGAACGCGTCTCGAAACTTTGTCACGACTCTAATAAGCGGCATCCTTTGATTTATCGCTCGATCGAGGAGCCCTGGAGAGCCCCCGGCCGACAAGAAATCGCGATTTGAAATTCCAAGTTGCACGCTCTAACGCGCTCTCGTGGATCTCCCCCTCGATCCACCGCTTGACAGGAAGGATGATTTACAACCTGGCCGGCCACGTACGAATCGTCCTCGTTTCCCCCCTCGTGTTTCGCGATAGAGAAATCGCGATGCCGCGGCTCCAAGAATTCCAGTGCCAGTCGATGGGGAACTGGTTGGAGGTCGCTGGTTTCCGGGTTTATTTGAAAACGTGACTCGATTGGAAACTGGAAATTTGTAATTTATTAATTGATCGGGTCGCTCGGATTTGCGGCCAAGCGATAAGATCAAGTACAACATTACAGAATTAATAGACACGTTCGAGACGGGTATCTGTGGATCTGTGTTGGATAGAGAAATTTATGAAGTTGTTGTGCCGAGGTGGTTGATTCAAAACTGTTTTGACGAACAGATTAGGGTTTTCGATTAGGTAATTAAATTAAATTATTAGTCCGCGTCGAGTGGAGGGATGAAGATTTTTTCTGGCTAGTTTAGTTTCTCGATTTTAATAGTGATTATTTTGATTGAATATTGAGAAGGATTAGATAGTGTTGATTTATAAAATGTATAATTTGATCAATGATTTAAAATTAAATTTAATATTCGAAAGAAAGGATTTTTCTTGTGAGTTAATATTGACGTGTAAGGATTGCAAGAGAAAATTACACTTGAGAGGGTGAGTTTCTTTCAATTTTCAAATATAAAAAACTGACTGACTCAAGAAAAATTAGATATAATAATTATCTACACTTTTATTTACACAGAACCTTCCATGATATCGATTCGATAAAAATCGAGTCGCAATTTTTCTAAAATTGTATAAACAAATTTTAACGAGTTGGTAAGAACGAAAAGACTGTCGGACTGTCTTTTCCCTTCGCAACAACAGGGCAAAGCTGTCACTAATGCGGCGTAAATGTAATCAAAACGGTTTCCACCCCTAAGTAGGGGGGCTGTTTGCGTCATTAATGTCAAGCCTCGACCGCTCCGTGCATAAACGGTTGCCCGATATATTCTACGACTTATAATTAATCGACATCTTCCACCCCTTGTTACATAATAATTCACGCACGGCTCGTCTTATCGAGTTGAACGTTTTAAAAATAGCGGCGCGAATTTTTAGGGCGTACAACGCTCGTGGAAATAAATAGACGGGGTGTGTTAATGACCCATGGCCAACTGATCAATCGCTTGAGAATTATTACTAAAAAGTATCATTATCGAGAGAAATTTTGCCTAAATAGTCGAAAATTGTTAACTGGATCTTGAATTATTTATATTTATTGTACAATATTCCGCGATATCTCCTCGAATTATTAAGTGATAGATTATTAAGTAAATACATAATTGTTATAAACGGTGGAAAAATTGAAACGAAAGAATAAATAGTTCAAACAGCTCAAAGTTAATGTAAAAATTTATTTTCCGTTTATATTTAAGCATATTCGAGAAAAAATATTATTATCTTTTTAAGTTAATTTTAGTTCCAACGTATTCATTTCAGATAATAATAAAAAATATGTAGAAAAAAAAATTTGCAAACGATTAGATTGTTTTCTAATTTTTGTAAAGTGTATTCGCGATTATATCCTCTTTTTCCAATTTTCTTAAATTATTTTTTTTTTCAAAGTATCGAATCTTTTTTCGTCATTTCGAAAGTCACGCTCCTCCAATTCTTTCCGAATTTCTAGCGCTCTAAAACGCCACTCTTGGCACACGCAACGCGACAGACAGAAGACAATTTTCAAAAGAGTTCTAAGCGCAAAAGTTCTCTCGCTCTTTAACCATCACATGGCGCATGTGACTTTTACGTTTCACCAATGCACAAAAAGCAGTAATGGATCGTAAACGGGATTGAAATGAAATCTACCCCCATCCTGTTCCCCTCCTCCACATTCGCCTTCCTCCAGAGATCGCCCGTTAATTACGATCCTTTGTAGTTCGGTCCCACGAATGTTTACCCATGTGTCCACATTCGGTTCATCGTTATTCCTATCTCCAACGACTGTTCCAACGATATAATTGCTCGAAATCCAGAGTGTGAAATGGTGGTGGTATCACACAGGGCTTGAAATAAAACCCTGCGCTATCTTCCAGTGGAATTTTGTTGGTCGAAATTTTATCTATTTCACGAAGTTTCAAAAGAAAATAATGAAAGAAAATTCGATCAACAATGTCGACTTTATCCTTACTAATCGCGTAAAAATTCTCGTCATTAAAAGCATCTGCAAATTGGATTATTTATATCTTTTTCATTATTATCAAAATAAATTAGAAGATGATCCTCTTCGAGAAAATACCTTATACCTTACTTCCCAATCAAAGTTCTCGTCTTAATTACAAAGAAAATCGCCACTAATAATCATCGATTACAATTTCTTAACAATTAATGATACTTCTCTAAAATCATAATCAGCCATAGTTTACTCATAATAATGTAACGTAACAACAACAACTATAATCGTAACCATAATCTCAATCACCTGAGCTTTAATAACCAGGCTTATAACAACCCTATATAGTATGCATAACCCATTACACATTCATACGAAAATTTTTACAATTTTTACCGACTAAATTTCGAGCGCATTTTCTTCTTTCGTTCCCGCGAAGGAAAATTCATCCAAGCTTTCTAAATTGAATTCCGTGAAATTCATGTCTATTCGATCCCATTCGAAGGGAGGTTGCTCGTCCTCGTTAATTCTTGCCTCGCGTTAATTCTATCCGCGCGAACGAACGTGAACACGAGAAAAAAAAATTACGCAATATACACGCACACATACACACGTGAATAGTGCGTGAAAGAGCGGCACAGAAATACCTACTTGCGCGTTAACAAACGGCGGCGCAATATGGAAAAGGAAGTCGCTATCAGGAGTGATAATCGTGCAACGATAAAGAGCGACCCGGCTCAAATTTATTGAGGCTCGACGCCTCGCCGATAAACTTGCTTTTATCTGGGGAAGAGAAAAAGTGGATGCGTTAGTTCGCGAGGATACTAATCACTGATTACCGTGCCATTCCAACAGTCGACTGATTGTGAGTAATATCGCTCTGTGTTT